CTAATTTAGCTACAACTAATCAGGAAAGAGATCTTGGAGTCATCGTGGATAGTTCTCTGAAGACATCCATGCAGTGTGCAGCGGCAGTCAAAAAAGCAAACAGCATGTTAGGAATCATTTTAAAAGGGTTAGAGAATAAGATGGAGAATATCTTATTGCCCTTATATAAATCCATGGTAGGCCCACATCTTGAATACTGCGTACAGATGTGGTCTCCTTATCTCAAAAAAGATATACTGGCATTAGAAATAGTTCAGAAAAGGTCAACTAAAATGATTAGGGGTTTGGAACTGGTCCCATATGAGGAGAGATTAAAGAGGCTAGGACTTTTCAGCTTGGAAAAGAGGAGACTAAGGGGGCATATGATAGAGGTATATAAAATCATGAGTGGTATGGAGAAAGTGAATAAGGAAAAGTTATTTACTTGTTCCCATAATCTAAGAACTAGGGGCCACCAAATGAAATTAATGGGCAGCAGCTTTAAAACAAATAAAAGGAACTTCTTCACACAGCGCACAGTCAACCTGTGGAACTCCTTGCCTGAGGAGGTTGTGAAGGCTAGGACTATAACAGCGTTTAAAAGAGAACTAGATAAATTCATGAAGGTTAAGTCCATTAATGGCTATTAGCCAGGATGGGTAAGGAATGGTGTCCCTAGCCTCTGTTTGTCAAAGGGTGGAGATGGATGGCAGGAGAGAGATCACTTGATCATTACCTGTTAGGTTCACTCCCTCTGGGGCACCTGGCATTGGCCACTGTTGGTGGACAGGATACTGGGCTGGATGGACCTTTGGTCTGACCCAGTGTGGCCATTCTTATGTAAGAAGGAACTGAGACAGTGCAGGGCCAGCTGGGCCCCCTTATACTGGTGCTTGAGCATGCGGCACCAGAGGATGCTAGAGCTGGGCCGATGGATACCATTGAGGGAAAAATCTCTGGCGACTATGCACATGGCACACATGCACCTAACATAGAATGTACATGAGCAAGCTCTCGAAGAACCACCACGTTTTCCGTTTTAGTAATTTTATGTGATAAAGATGAGGATTTTTAGTATGATTTTTTTATTCTGATAGTGTGCCTTTTTAAACAAATAAACTGAAGCCAGTGGTGCTGTAAAAACTGATGTTCCAGAGTTATATGGAGCATCCAATACCACCACTTCTGCCTTATGGGTTTAGTAATACAAGGCCATAATATGACTGTGGCATATTCTAGCCCTCCCTCAAAGCATCATGACACAAAAGCCCAACTTTCAATGATGTTACGTAATCTTCCTGATTCTGTTTTGGGCCTTCTGGAATTCATTAGCCTGCAATATCCTACAAGCCAGCAACTGTCCAGACTGATTTACCATAGTAAACTCTATTCCTAGCTACCACCTTTCTACTCAGATGCAAATCAAGATCTCAGCAAAACTTCCTTAAACGCTTATGACTGCAGACAGAAAAGGCTGTTGAAGCTGCAGCTTTGTTTCTGAAGACAGAATATCAAAAGAGTTAGTGAGGAAAAAATAGAACTAAAAACAGGGGGTCATGTAGGGCTGGATGTTCCTAGCATTGATGCGGAAGTAGTAGTGACTGGTAGGAGATAAATCACACTTAACCCACAATAAAATTAGACCCCCACTGAGCCCCTAAAGAGAGTTGGATCTCCCTTGCCCCCAAAGAACAGAGTTCTTAAGTGTCTCCAGTTCTGTCTTAGTTCTCTGTTTGCTTTACAAATTGTATCTCTCACCGTCTGGAAAAGCTATTTTCACTTGCAAAAACTACCTTTTCTCCCTATCTAATAACTGGACATAAAACACTTTTTTGTTTTGTTTTTCATAATTCTTTAGTTGCAGAACTTTTCACACCACTTTCCTGTCAGTGACAATTTGGGAAAATAATTACAACTACATTAATTGATATAACAGATACATATGCTACATGCTAATTGTCACATGCTTGAAAAATAAACCACCTCTGTTCTTAGACACTGTTAGACATCTTCATTGATAATCTCTCAATTAAGAGTTGGCTAGAATTGCATATACACCTCTACCCCGATATAACGCAAAGTCGGATATAACGCTGTAAAGCAGTGCTCTGGGGGGGGAGGGCTGCGCACTCCGGTGGATCAAAGCAAGTTCGATATTACGCAGTTTCACCTATAACGCGGTAAGATTTTTTGGCTCCCGGGGACAGCATTATATCGAGGTAGAGGTGTATATTTCATGACTGCTCCACAGTTAACAACATTCATGTGGAAGGATATGAGTATTTTTTATCTTGCACATGTTAGATTCTATAAAAACTTGTTAATGATTAAATCCACTTAATTTCCTTTTTTCTTGGAAATATATTAAAACAGTTACCAGCAAATAATCCAGTGAACCCATGCTCAGCAACAATTCTCTTCATTACTGTCCATGTTGATGTGGACCTCTTCTGTGATACTAGATAGAGTACAACAAAATAAAGTGTGAATTAAATAGTATACAAATTAATACCACCACAGAAAAGTAATAAATACTCTTGAAAATCAGAGGGATCACATCAATCAAATGCACTAGCTGTTTTTATTTTAGTCACATTTTAAATTCATTTTACATTAATTTTGCACATACTGATGGAAAATGAAGGAGTTGTTTTATTATTTCATAAGTATCACATGGACCTCAATTTATCTGTTAGATATTATCCTGCCTGACTGCAATGAGTTAAATCCAAGAAGGCTGCTGAGGGAGAAGCAAACCAGAAAAAAAATAGTGGCAAAGATAAGGATGGGGAAATTATAAATTGGGGAATGCTCCTGCTTTGCTCCCATAAGGCTGGCCTGGTTTACTCTGCTCAAGGCCAAAAGCCTAGGATCAAAGGTGAGCCTAAGCCTTAAAGGTGCTGGCCCAGGAAAGAAAGGGACTGAGTGGATTGTCAGCAGTACTGGCTAGAAATGAAGACAGATACAAACAAACTGCAAAAAGCAGGTTAGCTCTACCGGTTCAGAGATGGAAATACAGTGGGCCTAACTGAGCTATGGATAGAGAGGTAAAGAAACACGCGTACAGAATTCTTTTTTGTTTTAACCCTGTGATGCATGGTCAGAAATGGTTAAACATCCTGCAGAATAAATGACTCAAATTCAACCCTGAAAGACATGTGGGGAGATAATGTTTGTGCTTTTGTGTATTTACACATATATGGTAATGATCAACAATTTAATCAACAGTCCCTGTCTATGCTGCATTCTGATGATTCAGAGATAAAAAAAACCATTACTCACCTTCTGGTAACTGTTGTTCTTTAAGATATGTTGTTCATGTTCAGTCCAATCAGGTGTGTGCATGCGCATGTGCATAGTAGCCAGGGGCGGCTCTATGTATTTTGCTGCCCCAAGCACGGCAGTGAGGCAGGTTTCAGCGGCACGCCTGCGGGAGGTCCACCGGTCCCGCGCCTTCGGCGTACCCGCCGCCGAATTGCCGCCAAAGCAGCGGGACCGGCAGACCTCTCACAGGCATGCCGCCGAAGGCTGCCTGACTGCCGCCCTCACAGCGACCGGCAGGCCGCTCCCTGCGGTTTGCTGCCCCAGGCACGTGCTTGGTGTGCTGGTGCCTGGAGCCGCCCCTGACAGTAGCCGGATGATTTTTCCCCTAGCGGCAACCGTAGGGTCGGCCTGGGCGCTCCCTGGAGTCGCGCCTTCATGGTGTCCAATATACAGCCCTGCCAACCTTGCACCCTCTCAGTTTCTTCTTGCCAGAACTCCAACAGAGGGGTAAGGAGAGTAAGTATTGGAATGGACATGAACAACTCGAGTGCTTGTTCATGTCAATTCCAATCAGGTGACTCACAAATCCAAGTTCAGGAGGCGGGGTCGGAGTCATCCACTGATTGAAGCACTGCTCGTTGAAGGCTGCATCGTCTTGGCCTGTTGTGTAATCACATAATGTGTGGTAAAAGTGTGGATGGAGGACTATGTCACTGCTCTGCAGATTTCCTAAGTAGGAATCTGAGTGAGGAATGCTGCTGATGAAGCCTGCGCCCGGGTGGAGTGTGCAGTGATTGGGGGTGCGAGAACCCCCACCAGGTTGTAGCACTTATATATGCTGGATGTGATCCATGACTAAATGCGTTGTGAGGACACAGGTAGATCCTTCATTCTGTCTGCTACCGCCACGAACAGCTGGACCGATTTTCTCAACGGCTTTGTTCTTTCGATGTAGAAAGCTAGCGCCCTGCGAACTTCTAGTGAGTGGAGTTTCTGCTCCCTGCCTCTAGAATGCGGTTTAGGGTAGAACACCGGGAGAAAGATGTCCTGGTTGATGTGAAACTGCGACGCAACCTTCAGGAGCAAAGCAGGATGGGGCCTGAGCTGAACCTTGTCCTTATAGAACACGGTGTAGGGAGGCTCTGATGTTAGGGCCCTGAGCTCCGACACCCTCCTGGCCTAGGTTACCGCTACCATGAACGCCACCTTGTAAGAGAGAGAGAGCAGGGAGCATGTCACTAATGGTTCAAAGGGGCGTCCCATGAGCCTAGAGAGGACCAGGTTGAGGTCCCAGACAAGGACAGGCTGACCGACATTAGGTATAGCCTGTCAAGCCCTTTTAAAAACCGTCTGACCATCAGGTTAGCAAACACAGAGCAGCCCTCCATGGCTGGCTGAAAGGCCGAGATGGTGGCTAGGTCTCGGAGCAGCCCTTGATCAGTCAGTTGTCGAGGTAAGGAAACACTGTACCCGGTGCCTGCGAAGAAATGCATCGATGACTGCCATGTACTTGGTGAAAACACAAGGTGCTGCTGACAGGCCGAACGGGAGGACTGTAAATTGGTAGAGGGTTTTGTTCACCACGAACCTGAGTGGTGGGTGATCGCAATATGAAAGTACGCATCCTTCAAGTCGAGGGCGGCATACCAGTCTGCTGGATCCAATGAGAGAATGATGGAGGCCAGAGAGACCATGCGGAACTTGAGTTTCTTCACAAACTTGTTGAATTCTAACAGGTCCAGGATGGGCCTGAGGCCGCCTTTGGTTTTCGGTATTAAGAAATACCAGGAGTAAAAGCCCTCGCCCCTGTGCTCCTGAGGAACCTCCTCCATTGCCCCTAAAGATAGGAGCGATGGTACCTCCTGGATAAGGAGCTGCTCG